TACCCTTACTTACAACACCCGGAGCAAAGGGAAGGAGACGTAATGACAAGCACGAATTTGAGTCCAGACCATGTCCCACTCCAGCGGTACCCCAGTCAGGCAATTACGGTTAACCCACCACACCTACAATAGGACCCCATTGGCCGGACCGACCGTGTACACACCCAACTCCCAGGTGGTGGATGGTAGCTTCCGTCGTAGAAGTGGGATGAACACTAAAATTCCGTCTCTCTTTACGGCTCACCGAGGGACGTAACAAACACCAAACAACGACACTGTGCCCAACACTCGGCACTGGACGGTCTCTCTCCCGATCTATGCCACCACAACCGGGAGCTGCCTGAGCCCGTGTAATTGGAAGATCCGTTGGTACACCCGAGCCACTCCGTCCGTCCTGTCTCCAGTTGAGCGGCGGGACGGTACCGGTTCCATCACCGGCGCCGTTCTATCGACCGAGATTGCGTACGGAAAGGTTTATTGGGCGTCCATGTTTCCGCCGGCAATGGGTCGCAGACCCCGGCGGTTGGAGATTAGGTCCCTTTATGGTCCGGGAACCGAGGACTCTCCCTCCGTTCCGACTAAGCCCTCCTGACAGACTGGTTCAATAAGTCCTGATAGGTCCGTCCGGTCTCGTCTAGGTGGTGTCTGACAATGTCCTGCCTTCAACAACCTAAGGTTCGGCCACCCACACTTCTTTTCCCAGATATCGGAGACAAGGACTATGTAAACCCGAGAAAGGACAGGATAAATTACTAATGACCACCTGTCCCCGACGAGAAGGTGTTATATCACATACGTCCTCGGGTAAACCAGGACTACCTGCCGTCAAAGTCGGAAAGTCAATCGGCGAATCTGCGCCAAAAACGGAAGGAAACCGGAGGAGGGGGTGTTACCCTAGACGGCAACCAACGCAGCCCGAGACTAGTGTAATGGTAAAACTCCGAGAAGGAGGGACCTTCGTGTACAGTATACAAATTTTGTCGAAACGAAAACGAAACGGGCCTTGAAGTCGGTTCTCTCACAGCTCGACCCTGGCGAGAAAGGCAAAACGTGGTCAACGGAAAACTAGGGCCCCACCCTGGCATCGCCCCGCTGGTGAGTCTTGCTTGGGGGACAAGGAAAACAGGGTTCTTTGGATTCTCAACAAAAGTCAAGCTCACCGAAATGTCACTTTGACGAAAAGAAGGTGGGTATAACCCTGTCCCTCGGTTTTTATTATTAATTTATTAAAGTTAAAAATATCGCGGAAAGTTCTCTGGGGTTCTGCGGAAAAAGTTTACCCTTTGTTTTTGTTGTTTATTATTATCAATGGTGTCTATGTGCCATTTTTTATATTTGTCCACCCGACCCATGACGTAAAATCCGACTCCGGTTTCCGGGCTCATAACGTGGNGATCTGCGAATGCGCAATACGGGTCGGGGATTGACCAACCGGCTCCCACTGCTCTGCTGTCTGTTAACGTTGTTAAGGGTGGTGGGGGCGGGGAGGGAGCGGATCGACAGTTTGAGCAGCTGTCAACTCAACATTGTAAATAACCAACCAAAAACGATCGCCGGTTCATCTTGTTTTTGGCGTGAGAATAGTTTGGGCAGCGTGAGAGCGTGAGATTGAGAGTGAAAGCGTATGTCACACGCCAGATGCGTGAGAGTTGGCAACCCTGTGTTAGTTGGCCAATTTGCCTGATCACTTAACAGCTTTTTAGCCAATGATTGATTATGTATCGGTACAAACCAAATTATTCACCACTAGTTAGCAAAGAGAAATGCAGGGGAGGCCAATTATCAGTTGCCGTGACTTAAGTTAGCGGTTAGCAACAAACGTTTAGCAACAAGCGTTTAGCAAGCTATAGCTGTAGATACGCTGCATGGATCGAGGTTTTGTTGCTTTATAACAGTCAGCGGATACAGTGATTTGCAAACAGCAAGCTTGACAATTTAGCAGCAAGATCCCTGCTGAAAAAAAAGCATTGAGCAGTGTGGATGTTTTGCTGGTCTGTGCTGTTTTTTTTCAGCAGGGATTAGACGGGGAACCTCCATGACTTAGCTGACGATATTCACTCAAGACATTATTTTGCTAACGTAAGCTAGCTAGAAGTGTGTCTGCGTTAGCAAGCAAGCTAAGGTCAGACTACAGCAGAGCAGCGCAAAATCAAGGTCATACTTTATATTTCGATTGTGGATTCTCTGATTTGAAGGTTGCAGATGGTTCATAGTGGCTATGGTCAGAATAAAATGTAAGAAGAATACAGATATGTTTTAAAAGAAAATTAAAATAAGATTCTAATTTATTCTCTAGCATTATTTTTTGCTTAACAGGAAACATTTGGAAATCATTCTGGATATGTTTTATATATGTACACATTCATTTTTATTCATTAGATTGTCTATGCTGTAATTGTATTACGTTGTATATTCTGTACACAACAAAATGTCACATGTGTCCATCTGGGAAATGGATTCCTCCACTGTTGCATAACAGGTTGTCCTATGCTGCCCATATATTTTAACTCTGAGACAATTTTGTATGGGCAGGCATATGTCGAAAGAAATGTTCGATCACCAACAAGATGTCATTTAGTCTCGTCTTTTTTGAAGGATGCTCGTGAGATAACAGAGTGCGATTATGAGAGAAAAAGAAAGGATGCTAAGTGCTAACTGCTGTAAACTTAATTGTCACAGGTGTTAATCAAACCATGATTTCATTTTACATGGTGAAGGTACAATACACTCATATCAACATTCTATTTAGCATCTTAATGATTGCCTGTCAACCATTCAGCAGTGTCCACACACAAAGTACATTCCATCTTTGCGTCAGTGTTGGTTTCCAATACAAATCTTTTCTTCACTCTCTGCCTCTTTGTTGTGGCTCATTAGTGTGAAAACCTGCCATTCTATCTCTTTATCACTCTTTCTCTCTCATGAAACTCTTTTGAGGATCTGCCACTATTTTCATCATCATTCTCCTCCTCTCCCTCCTTCTCTCTTCCTATCGACTCCCTTCTGAAGGCCTGCCATAAAAACAGTCTCTGTATCCCTCCCTCTTTCGTCCGGGGGATTTTCAATTGGAAGGCCTGCCATCGTCTTCCTCAATAATCTACATTCTTCCTTTGAAGGCTGATTGCAAGAGTTTGATTTGCAGTTGAATCAGGCTCCTTATAGCCACCTTTTAAGTTCACCCCAGTACAACGTTTTGTGTACTACGCTGTAACAAGACAAATGGTTCTGAGATGCATTGCAACCGAAAGCCCCAGGAAGTGCGACGGACAATGAAGCACATTTCTTTAGTGGCCCAACGGTGGTACTACAACTTCCGTGTCAGTCCGTGACTTCATTGAGACCAAAAATACTTTTTCTCATTGATTACTTGGAAAAAAGATGAATGTAAATTGCTTTTAACTAAAGGAACCCACCCAGTACCAAAACTGTTATAGCACTTTTATAAATCACTTGGGTCTAAGAGTTGTAACATGTGCTAAAAGTAGAATCAAGAGTATCCTCTCCATTCATTTGACTGAGTCGAGATTGGCCGTGAAGCTGCGTATTGGAGACAGGGCTTAAGCTAAACTCAAATGTCCACGCTTCCAACTCTGTATTCAGTTCTACAGTATGTATACTTCCATGACTACAACTGATTGCATTTGTATTTAGGGGTTGTGGTTAAAAGACACATATGACACTTAGAAAGTCCATCAATTATTTAACACAACTCAATAAGAATATTGCCAGCAATTCTCAGATAAAGATAACAAGACTGACTAATCAATTATCCTCATCTAATCTGAAAACACTTTGCAAAAGAGGATGAAGATTAGATAAAACATATCTTAAAAATCACCTCATGTCAAAAACACTTTAAATCCACATTTCCTAAGGCAGGGGTTTTCAAAGTGTGGGAAGGTGAGCCTCCCCTCAGAGAACATAAGAACAGCCACACCCTCCTTCCCAATTATTATTGCTATTATTATTGTTGTTGTTGCTATAATGCAGGGGTATTCAATTGCATTTCAAAGAGGTCCGGTAAGAGAAAATGTCATTAAATGCTCTGTTTTCGCTGAAATGACTCCGACTGTTTCTCTCTTCTTGCCTCGTCTCTGAGTGTGTTTTAATCTACCATGCTGACTCACTGACTGCACCGATTTGATTGGCTGAATAGCGTCACCTCCTTAAAACATGAAACAATAACCTTTTTAAACTTTTTTATATTTATGTTTTAAACATTTTTGTTAAACATTTTAACATTTCAACATCGTGGATAAATCCTCCCGGCAACACACTGAACGTCACTTTGCCTCCTTATTACACTCACCCCTACTTTAGTGGGAACAATGAGTCTGCGTCTGATGCGCACAAGCGGATGATGCTGGGATGCAATGTAGACAGGAATAAACCCAGATCCTCCTCTGGCTGCAGCCTTGACCGGTACTTGCTTTTGATCAAAGTCAATGCGGAAAAGCCGCACTAAATTGGAAGAGCACGCTAATGAACTGTCAATGGGGGGGTTCTCGTGAACTGTCAACGGGGGGGTTCTCGTGAACTGTCAACGGGGGTGGGAGACGCGCTGCGCGGAAACTGACCTCTGTTGCCTGTCAGCGCAACTTAAATTATGCCGTTTAAAAACATAAAAAATAAAGGGCGGTGCCGGCCGTCAGCGAACCGAGCCGGCCGTCAACGGCCCGCTGACGACCGGCCGTTCTGTGATTCTCTAGAACACACAGATGGCCAGTCCGCCCCTGGGTGGAGGTGAAGGGAATGAGCACTTTTACAGCCTTTTTGGCGAGGTGGGGGAACTCGGTCTCCACAGACAACCAAAAGTGTGCAAGTGACACTTTACTCGTCTTTTACTCGTTATTTCTTTCTCACGCTGCGCCTCCCCTGAAGCCTCACACTTTGAAAACTGCTGTCCTAAGGGAATAAGTGTAGATGCAATTGTCTCCCATTAAGTTATTAAGCTAATTCTCATGAAATAGGGCAAAGTTGTCTCTGTTTCCCTGTCTTACCATCTCCTCTGCCCGGTCTCCCTTGGTACTGATGTAGCTCAGCCGATAATGTCGAACATTCCTCGAGTCCACAGGCTGCCAGGCCACCCGCATACTGTACGTGGTTTCCTCATCGATCCTCATGTTCCGCACGCCGTAACGAGGAGCTGGAGGATCAGAGAGAGAGAGAGAAAATATCACTGCAGGGCAACATCGGCTCACCGAAGCACAAACCTGACAACTGATCAAATTAAAATGTCATCATTTTGGCATTTCATTTACTCAGGTTTCATGTAAGCGTCTTTTTCGATATCAAAACTCTTCCCTGGCAAAGTCTGTGTGGGAAGAAATCTGACAGCCTTCATGAGGGATGATACAGTATGTGTAAAGACATGGGATTATGATTTAGACAAATTAAGACAAATCAAAATGGAATTCAGATCTGATTTGAATCCTTATTTTTCCATTGTGTAAGTTAAAGTTATAAAAGCTTTGTTGGAAGATATTTCTACATTATTAGGTAAGTTCTACTTTATTATATCTCTGCTTTTTCAGGCACTTTACTTCAACTTTTTTTAAAAATGAAATGAAAACAGAGTCAAACATTGTAGTCCAAAATTTTAATGTAGTCCTAAAATATCAAACAGCTGTAAGGAAATATTTACTTGCTGTGATGGTGGTCGTCGTTGCAATGGTGGTCAATATTTCAACTGAAAAGGAAAATAAATACATATTTAATTAATTTGCGTGATTAAAAATGTAACAGGAGTTTACTTTAAAGGATCTTCTGATGTTTTTACAGACATAAGACCAGAAAAGATATGATGGAAACAAAGTCTACTGAGATTGTGGCTTTAGAAATATAAATATCTGAGCACTTTTTACAAACATGAGGAGTGACATTTATATTTACCGGTGGACTCTACGAGGACCACCTCGTCACTCTCTACCTCGTTCTTATAGATCGCAGCGAGCAGGACTTCGTAGTCTGTGAGGGGGGTGAGTCCTTTTATCAGGTATGTGTTCATTTTTCCGTCGATCAGAACCTGAAACAGAGAAATGTTTTGTGTTATATGAGCAGATGATTGGCTAATAAAGACTAAAACAGTGGGAGTACTCCCAACTGAATATGTTTTCAAATTATTCTAAACCTCAGAGTTAACTAGGAGAAACTAACCTTTGAATCCATCACAGCAAGGAGCAGCTCATTTAAGTTATTGTATTATTGTGCGGCAAAACAATTGGTATATATTTAAAGTTACTGCATAAAGTAAAACAACAGCAGATAATGAGAGGCTAACACATGAAGAGACACATAGCACATTAGTGCGACAGGAATTACTTTCATCTTGTGGCTGTGAGGGAGTGCGGTCGTCTTTCAACCAGAAGGTTGTGGGTTCGATCCCAGCCCATGCAGTCAACATGTCGATGTATCCTTGGGCAAGATACTTAACCCTGAGTTGC